TCTCCCCAAATTCTTAAAAGATAAGAGCCAATCAGGAGATCAAAAATATAACCAAACCAAATATAAAAATCCCAGCATGGCACTTGTGCAAACTCCAAAGGCCCAGTTAGAACCCACATTCTGGGCTGTGCAGTCTTGCTGATTGCTGACATCCTGGCTGAAAACTCTCCTTTTCATTACTCTTTCTGTTGTCATCCCATCACATGTAAATCTCAGTGACCCTTAGCAAATCCCAAAAGTGTTCCTAAGAGTAAATGGATTGGGAAACCAAAGATAAGAGAGTGACAGTAGTTCCACTAAATCCTCAGTGCAGATATTCCAAAGTTTGCATTTTGAGTTTGGACATTCTCTGATGCCTGGCTTGTTCATTTTGGAGCCTTAAATAAACTCTGTAGTTATATTATTAAAATATCAAATTCTGTAGAGAAAACAATTCCAAAGCTGGGAAAGTGATCAATTAGATTAGAATTTTATTAATAGAATCCAATTTGTAGTGGAAATTTCTTTTGTTAAATCCCCCGAATTTTCTGTGTTATTTCTAACACTTCTCTTTCTTAATATTATTTTTCAGTTGTTGATGGACCTTTACTTTATTCATTGACTCATATGTGGTGCTGAGAATCAAACCCAGTGCCTCACACATTCTAGGCAAGTCCTCTACCACTAAGTCACAACTCAGCCCTCTTTTTCTTGTTGACAAAACAAATACCAACCTAAAAAATATTTCACATGTTTCAGGGGAACAGTTGCCTCATAGAGCAATTTAAATGAACTATACCAGTGTGGATTTTTACTACCTTAAAAAAATCACTGACTTTTTAGAATTTTTTTTGGAGAACATTATCAGTCATAGACTATCAGTCAGATGATTTCCCCAAATCTCCACACTCCAGAAACAATATCTAGATTTTCCCACAGTCTTTGTTCAGCATAGAATATTTCATAGGAGAAAGTCAGTTCTCAGTGATTCCCCTGGGTGTGTCTTCAATATTTGCTGATTCAGCTTTGCCTCCCCACCCCCATGCTCTGTATCCTGCCTTATCAAAGATAGAAGGATTTAATAAAGTCCCTTTTCCAGAAACTTTTGGTTATTTCCTTCCTTCTACATACTTGAAAATATGGTTTTGAAGCAAGTGCCTCATTGAGCCTGAAAGGTGAAATGATGTTTGAAAAAACACCCCAAATCCTAAATGAATKCTGGRTAACTTAGTGGACTGTAGTACTTGTGTCTGGTTTTTGAAGCAGAGAATAAGTGATGTCTTCTGTACTGTTTTAGGATGGTGCCATTCCTGAAGATGATGCCATCACTTGGGGGTTGGGGATGATTTCTGATTTGGACATGTTGAGTGTGAAGTGCCTGAGTTCCCTGGTGGGAAGAATACCACCATAAGACAGAGCCGGGCCTAACAGCCAAGCAGGTCAGCAGCCCTTGGCTGTCTCCTGACTTGTCTCACAGGAGTCAGCCCAAGGTTCAGAGCAGCCCTGCCCGCATCGAGGACAAGACTGTGGCCAGCAGTGCTGATGTTCCCTTCACCTATCTGTACATAGCCACGCCAGGACCCCTGTCCACCTGCCACTGCTTGGAGATACTCAGCACCACTGGGCTCAGTGCTCAAAGCTTCTGGGTAACAAGTCAGTTCAGGAAATCTGCTGTAGAGAAAGCCCTCCCAGAGCTACAGCAGTAGGTGAGACCTGGTGGCATGCTGCCCCCAAGGAGCTCTGATGAGGAGGAAATGTCACAAGTCAGGATGAGACAGGAAAAGTGAAAGGTGCTGTAGGATATAAAGGGGACAATCTCAAAGTGCATCAGAGAAGAATGCATGAAAGAGATGGTGTCTGAGCTGGCTTTGAAAACTCACCCCAGTGTGACTGAGAACAGCAGGAGCAAAGACCTGGAGGTGGGGGCAGTGCAGAGGATGTAGTGATGGGCCAGGCAGTGTGGAGGGGGATGTGGAAGTCAGGCCAAAGAAGCAGATGCTGCCAGACTCAGGGGGCCTGGAAGACTCAGCAAGGATTTGGACTTAATGCTGTGGTGATGGGGAGCCATGAAGGGTCTCGGTCAAAAGAGTGATGGATCAATTGGGGCTAGACTTCAATGGCAGAACCACTATGAGGAATGTGAGGAATTTCTTTTAGAGACTAGAGGGACAGAGCCTTGGGAGCAGCTGGAGACAACAATGAAAGCTGGTACCTCTGTGTCTTGTGGTGGGCCTGAAGGTGCTCCACGACCCTGGAGTGATAGTCTGGAAGAAGGTGGGTGTGAAGGGAGCGAAAGGACACCTTCTCTTCTCGTTTTGTAATGGTGCCCAGCCATGTTACAGATGGTAAGTGCTTTGTTGCCATGGGTCCTGTAGTGGAGGTGAAGGGTAGATAAAAGGAAGCAGAGCAGAACCCCAGCCAAGCCCTATGGACCTGGGGCATAAGTGAGAAATCTGTTGGTTTTAAGCCACTTAATTAATGATTCCATTAYCACAAGATAGGCTAGCTCATGTTGACTGACAGAGTCAGAGGGCAACAGTAAACGTGGGAGAATTTTCTAGTGAGCAGACCTCCCCCAAGCAGAGCTGTGACAGATGCTTTCACCTCTGCATTTCTTAGGCTGTAGATGATGGGGTTCAGTGAGGGTGTCACAGCGGCATAAAACAGTGTGATAATCTTATCCACATTGGGATTCTTTGCCTTAGGCTTGAGGTACATGAAGGAGATGGTCCCATAGAAAATCACCACCACTGTGAGGTGTGCAGAGCAGGTGGAGAAGGCTTTGCGCYGGCCTGAAGYAGAGGGAACCCRAAAGATGGCAGCCAGGATGAAAATGTAGGAGAGRCAGATGAGCARGAGAGGGGTCACTGTCAGGATGGTTGTAGCCACCATCAATACCAGGGCATTAAGGGAGATGTCCCCACAGGCGAGTTTCAGCACTGCTAAGATCTCACAGAAGAAGTGGTTGATGACATTGTGGCCACAGAAGGGGAGKCRCCAGATCAGGATGGACTGTAGCAGTGARTTGACAAAGCCTGTCYCCCAGCTCAGYGCTSCCATCTGYATGCACATMTGTSSAGTCATGAGCTCTGTGTACCTGAGTGGGTGGCAGATAGCCACATAACGGTCATAGGCCATCGCAGCCAGGAGCAGGCACTCTGTAGTGCCCAAAGCCAGGGTCAAAAACATCTGTAGGGCACAGGCTGGGAAGGAGATGGTACTTCTGGTCTGTAGGAAGTTGGTGAGCATGAGAGGTATGAAGGAGGAGGTGCCACAGATGTCTATGAGGGAGAGGTTGCTGAGMAAGAAGTACATGGGGTTGTGCAGGTGGGGGTCCAGCATGATCAGCACCATGAGGAGGGAGTTCCCCAGCAGATTCATGCAGTAGATGCCCAGGCAAAGCACCAACAGGACCACCTTTAGGTCATGGTGCCCATGGAGCCCCAGCAGGACATAGTCCATCATGGCTGTCTGGTTTGTTTCCTCTATATCATCCTCTTTGCTCTTTCATCTGGACCACAGAGCTTTTGGAAAGAAGCTCTTGCTGGTGTGGGGACCAAGGGTGGTAGATGTGTGACTTGCAGTGTGTCAGCCTCCCTCTATGGAACCAAGTTTTATCATCTGTACAAGGAGAGAGTGGCTGGCCTTCAGGCCTGCAGCTGGTCCTCCCAGCTTGAAGTTCTTCCCACCTTTTCTAGGGGGCGATGTGGTGCATCTCAGCCTCCTGGACTACTCACTGGCTGTTCTTGTCTGAAGCTCTCAGAGGAGAATCTTTGACATATTTTGTGGTTTTTAATCCAAAGTATTCTAACCTTTTAAAGTAAGCATTTTTTTTTCGTTATGACTTCTTATGTCTGAATTATGTCCTCAGCATTACGGATTTCTTTATTTGCTGATTCATTCAGTCTGTGCTAGGTATTGTTTCAGGTACTGAGTCTACATCAGTAAGAAAAATAAGATCAATAAATTCTATCTCATCCCTCTTGCTGGCTGTCTTCTTTGACTGAGGTGAGATTATCTCTRAGAAGCAGGTGTGTGATAGATGATCATGCAGGTGTCCCTCTGGGCCCTGAGGATGGTACATTTTGCCTTCATATGATGTGTAAATCCGATAATGGTCCTGTCTCCTTAAGGAATCATAAACCATTTATTGTGTGTTTTTTTTTTTTAAAGACACACATAAACATATATACCCCAGTGGAGCTGCTGGTCACAGGATTTAACCTTGGTCATGAGATACAAGTGACTCACTTGTGTGTCTCTGTTGGGACAAGCCCAAAATGGCTGTTTTTGGGCCCTCTTGCAGAGATTTCCAGGGCTGGAACTGGCAATTTTATGTTTAGTCGATGCTAGAAACATTCTGATTCTGCTTGTATACTCAAAGTCATAAACCTTAATTTGTGTCCATGTGCCCCCTTAGGTAGCCTCTTGGCAGTGTGCTTTCTTTATCTGTCCTTCATATAAAAGGCCTATAGAAAAGACTTGGGGGTTCAGGGGGCAAAATGAGGGCTGAAACTGAAGATGGAGGCAGGAGGCTTTGCATCTTGTAAATTGTTCCACCTGCCGAGCCCAGAACTTTGTTTCCTGGATCAGAGCCCCTGCACCACAGCATCCATATTACTTTTTAGGATAAGTGAGACTGGCAGAGCTGTCAGTCAAGCAGGGGACACCAGGAGCTAATCTGGCCTTGGTGTGGCCAGTTGTTGTGTGGCAATTGTGGGCAGGGACTGCTTGCTGCTAGGCAGCCTTCACTGCTATGCCAAGCTTGGGAAAGGACAGCGTCAATATTCACAAGCCTATATGTCCCCAAAGCATAATAGTGTCGGTAGGACAGAAAAACTTTCTTATGCGTCAGGTGGCCCCTGGTGTGAAGGAAAAATAGGAGGTGAGGTTGAACTTTGATTGTTCAGTAGATATAACGCATCCCCGCCCCCCACTCTTGGTTTGTCAGACAAACTAGGAGAGAGATAGAGCCTGTCTTTCATTTTGGGCTGGAATATTTTCTCATTGCTCCTGCTTAATCATATCTGCCGTTTGTATGGGCCCCATGCTCCACTGAACCATGTCTTTCCCAACTCTGTATTACTTTGCCCAAGATTGAGGCATGTCCTCCCTTCTTGCCAGTGGGGGCCTCCCTGCTCATTTTTCAGAGACCAGCTCTGGATCTCCTCTTTCTTCTTTCCTCTGTTCCTTGCAGAGTTACCTGCTGCCTTCTTGTTGTCTCATAGCCATCCTTTTATATTACTATGTGACAGGTGATTTGCCTGCCTTCCCTAGCACACCTTGAGGGCAGAACAATATGGCCTTCCTTCCTGCACTACCCATACCTGGTACTGCCAAGAGCAGGCACTCAATAGGTTTGAATTCCTGTTTAAGAAATCCCCCAGATGGTCTCCTTGTTTCAGCATGTAGTAGCTGTATGATATTAACCAAGACTCACTGCCTCTGAAACTGCTTTCCCTTTGAAAATCGGAGATCTGTGCAGCACAGAGGAGACACACATGGACATGATTGTAAGCCACCCAGGGTGGTACAGCCACATATTACTGGGGCTCCAGATGGAAGATTGAAACTTCAACCACAGGCACCTGCTTGGTCTGTACTTGTCACCTCTCAAGACAAGGGCTCCGTGGAGGGCTGATGCAGGTTTTCCTTTCTTTAACCTGAATTAAGGTGCTTGTTAAGGGACAGTTTCTGTAATCTGCAATTTACATGGCAGTTGCTCAATCTGGGTCAGTAATTCCCCTTAAATTATCCATATGAACATTTGAAAGCAGAGATCCTTGGGCTTAGATTGGCACAAAGATAAAGAAATGCCCAGTGTGCTGTGTCCTTCATTTCCTACTTGACGATTAGTCACTGGGCAAGTACTACGAGGGGGTGCCTGTACCAGGTACTGAGAATACAGCAGAAATAGTCATGTCTTCTACCCTCCTGGAGTTTATATTCATTTATTCACTCTCTGGGTCCCAGCAACCTTGGACACATCTCTTTCCTCCTTTGTTTTAGACCTCCAGTATTGTCCATGAGTCTGGGGTATAAAGACAATTGTCAAATCTGAAATCTGGAAAGAAGCCCTGGGAGGGCTCTGTCTCAGCTCTGTGTGCACTTACAACAGACCTATGTTCATTTCAAATTCTGACTTTTTTTTTTCAGGCAGAGGAAGGTGGTAATTCCCTGAGTTTGCATCTCTCTCCTCACTCTGGTCTCTTACCAAAGACCCAAGAGGGAGAGGTGCAGGTATTTGAGGCTTCTGGCAAGATTGTGGCCTGCTCTCTTGCCTCACTTCCACACCACCCCTCACACACACCTGCTTGGCCAGACTACTGCCATGGTCTACTTATTCTTATAGGCTGAGTTAACCCTGCACTTTCTGCATGTAGCTCACTTTGATGGCTATGAAGGACTGTCCACCCAAACTACAGGATGGTTGCCCTGCATTAACACAGATTAATTTCATTGTGCCTTGAATTCTGGCTAGATTGCTGATTCTCTCTGACTAGACTGTTGAATAATGAGCAATTGAAGCAAAAGCGCTGTGTCTGGTTCATCACTGTCACGCTCCAAGTGCCCTGCCCAGGAGTATCAGTGATTGCCATTCTAATGGAACTAAGCATTCATTGAAATCCAGAGCTGCTATTCGTCCCAAAATCTCATCCCAGTGTCTCACCTTGGGACTAACACTCCTTACCCGCTTCCCTGTCCATCACACTCTTCAATAGAATGATGCCACCATTGTGATTGCTGGGAGATGAGTCTTGTGATCCAGGCTCCTGCCTGTGGGAAGAGTTGCTCTTTCTGGAGAGCTACATCAGGGGCATGGTGAGTTTCCTTGCAACTTAAGGGTCAGAGTATGGCACATTCCTGGCAAATAAAAGCAGCCCAAAGAAAGGAGTCTGAGTATAGAAAAGCCAATGTTGCAGGTGCCCAACAGCTTTTACTACAACCCAGGCAAAGGATAGGACTTTGGGGAGAACAGGTTAGGATGGCTTGGTTATGCTGTGCTAATGCACAGGTTCATATTTTTTACATGACAGAGGTTTCTTGCCTTCTCATGCTGTACGTCCACTGTGGGTTTCAGGGGCCTATCCTCAGAGACCCTGGTGGATGGAGGCTCCACCATCAAAAGCTTTACCAGTTATTATGGCCAGGGAATGACACCTGGAGCATCTTCCACCAGCAGTAAAATGCTGTGACACATTTCACACCTGCCCACAATACCCTGGCCCAGAGTATTCTTAACACATGCCTAGAGCAGCTGAGCAGCCCCTCTGCCTCTGGGTGCCATGTTGTTTTACCATATATTCCAGGGCATCTCTCGGCCAATGTCACACACTCTGTCGTCTTCCAGAAGACTAGATTCACAGAATGATCGGACACTGAACGGCTCTGAAAGTAATGGTTTCAGTTCACTTCACAATTTTACACCTCTTGAATGGTGGGGTGAGCATGAAATGAGCCCTAGAGTGGGTGGATGGAGCCCAGGTTTGATTGTTGGCCTTTGTTCCTGTTCTGCAGTCTGACTGGATCCAGCTCCTCTTTCTGAGAAATGAGCTGGTCAGTTAGGTGACCTCTGGACTCTGTAACCTTGCAGACATTTAATCAGACTCTCTAGAATCCTCCAATCCTGAGGTCAGAGAAACTGGAGTTCCTTTGTAAGGTAAATATCACATGAATCTCATTGGCTGGTAAATCTAACTTTACCCACTTAATGCTTATTTTAGGCTTCACAGATCATTTTAAAATAAAGGAAAAGGCATCACAGGCAGGAAGCTTTAGGTCCAGCTTTTTATTTATTTATTTTTAATTGGTACTTGGGTTTGAATCCAGAGGCACTTTACCACTGAGCCACATCCCCAGCCCTTTTTATTATTTTTAAAATTTTATTTTGAGAGGGTCTCACTAAGTTGCTTAGAGCCTCCCTTAGTTGCTGTGCTTTACAATTAGGGTCCTCCTGCCTCAGCCTCTGGATTGTGCAGATTACAGGTGTGCAATGCCTGCCCAGCACAGGTCCAGATTTTGTAATGCCTGGGATCTGGGTTCCTGTGTCACCACTTCCTCTTGTGTGTCAGAGGTGTTGGGGTGGGCTTTGGAGTCACACTGATTGAGGATCCCATCCCTGTCACTTGTTAACAGTTTTATCAATCTAGTTCCTTACCTGTAACAAGAGGTAGTGGCATTTCCTTGTTGGGTGAGTGTCAATTGAGGATCCAGTGAGTTGAAGTAGAGCTCTTCCTGCAGAGCCTGGCCTGGGGTCAATATGCAGCAAGTGGTGGATGATACTATTATTATTCTTGTGTCTCCTTCTCCAAGCAAATATTCTGGCTTTGAAATGTTTTAAAAAGCTTTTATGAGACTCACACACCAGATGACTGCTCCTCCTAACCACTGGCCTGTGGCAGAATTGTATGCAGAGAGCTGGAGCCAGGTAAGATGACCTGAGGCTTGGGGGAGCCATGGACGAATTGATGAGTTCATTACCAGCAGGTGCACTGTGCTGGGGTAGGCCAGGCTGAGGGGCCCCAAGGACTAGCGTCCTGGTCCCCTGCCATGCAGACAGCCTGTTTGCATTTTGCTCTCAGGGACCTGGTAGTCCCTGCCCAATTTAAAGTTCAAACTCTGTAATGACACAAAGTTGCAGGTTGGGCATCTGAGGGACCTAAGTTCCTTTCACTGTCCCTTGAGTGGCTTGCTGGGGTGAAGTGGCCACAGCAAAGAGACTGGACAGAGAATCTGATGATGGTCTCATTGTAGTCCAGCCCCCTGGATACTACAGGTTCTGAGAGTGGCTCTCTCCTTCACCAGGYCTGGTCACCTGGACTGAAGTGGGCTGTCTCCTTCCAGGATTGCTGCAGGACCTGAGTTTATTCAAACTGAAAGAGAATCCATTGCTTCATCATGTGGAGACCAAGGGAACTTTTCTAGCCAGGATCTACTCAGGCTCGTGGGTGTGTACAAGTTTGTTTCTTCCTTGCCCCCCTTCTTCCTGTCCTTTCACCATAAGGGTAAACAAATTCACACAATTCAGATACTGAAAAGCAGACTTTAATAAACAGCAGAAGGTATCTGTTGTCACATTATATTATGATTTGTGCTCTGGAATTTTATCAGGAGCACAGGTCAAGGTAAACAATTGGAAGACTATTCGCACTTATTCCATCTGTTCACAGAACAGTGCTCTTTGATTGCCCTGTGGACACTTGAGTTCAACAGACGCATTCTGTCTCCTTTGTCCCCTCCTGCTCAGCTCATCTTCCCCATCTCAGGGTTCAGTGGTGGCAAGTCAATGCCCACAGTCAAGCCTGAAACTGGCATCAGCCCACAGTCCTCCCTCTCCCTCACCCATATCTGTAATCCCAGAGATTGTATATATAATGTATTTTGTCATGTATTAAATCCCTATTTCCCAAATATCATTGCACATATATATATGTCAACATCCTCCACATATTTCTCAGCCCCACCCTGTCTGCTTCATTGTCTGCCTGGTTCAGCCTCATCAAGTGTCTGGAAACTGCTATGTCTTCCTCAATTCCCAGCCCTTGGCTCAGGCCCTATCCTTTGTCCTCTTTTATAGAGCAAGAAGATCTCCCATTTCTTAAAATAGATTTCTTAATTGTTGAGAGCCACAGCCAAAGGGGCCCCAGCAAACTTCCAGCTGCCGGCTGATGATTGGCTAACAGTGGCCCCAGCAACATCTAGCTGATTGGCTCCTCTGCGGTGATGTTCATTGGGCTGTTTCCCTGCCCTTCAGACTGCCAGCTGATGATTGGCTCACAGC